CAAAGAAGAAAGAATTCAATTAAAAGACAAAAAGAAACAAGTCAAGATCTATGATGAAAAGGAAAATATAAAAGAATAATCAGAAAATCTTAACCTTAGTTATCAATATAGAATCTAAGAAAGTTCTAACTGAAGCTAACAATAGTGAAGAGGACGAAGATGATAGTAAAGAAATCCCTCTAATTACCTACTACAAAGCGATAAATGCTGTTAAAGTGCTGGAACAATACCTTATGCAACAAGATCTAAGTGATACAGCACAGTTAAATCATGATCAATTATTACTAAATTTGTAAAAAGCAATCAGAAACCTTTGAAGTGCATCTTTTAAGCAAGTGAATCTTGAAACCTTTTTCCAGATTGACTGTTTAATTGAGTAGCAAGTAAATTAGTAATTTTTTTTCAGATTAGAGATCATAAATAAGTAGATTATAAAATCTATTATTACATATAAATAAAATAATAAGTATTTGTTTTGTGAACTTGTTTAAAGCATAGAACTATAGAACCTAATAATTAAATATCACGTGACAGATGATATATTGTGATCTTATTGGCTATTCTCTAATTGCAGCCTCCTTAAATGCATGCTTTGGAGATGGTCCTGATAATATGCATTTAGGGGTTTTACTAATTTACTCTCAACATTTTGATTTTGGCCAATCAAAGTGCAAGATCAGATATAATATGATGATCAAAACAACAATCACTTTTTTTTGTAAAGTCATATTTATCTCAAAATTTTGTCTAAGAAATCACTTTTGGTGTACCAACAAAAAAAATTCCTTGCAAAATTTTGGTGTAATACCACCCACTAACCCTAACCAAGATATCACATTTTAAACAGAAGGTGACATGTAAATTGGTACGAATAATCCCAGCCAATAGGATGTTAAAAGTAAATTAGTAAATCACATTTAGGGGGTCTGACTGTAGTACCTATTTATATAATACTTCTAGCTTCTGTTTGTTACTTCGCAAGCTATTTATATTGTAGCAAGCAATTCCTAATTCAGCTATGCTATTTCTATTTTTAAATATTATCTTCTGTCTATTGTGATTTGTTTCATCAATCTTCATAAGGTAGATATGCCTAATTTGGTATAGTGCCTAATTTGACGTATGACAATATCTCAAGAACTATCGATCAGAATCACATGATTCTGATACCATTTAATTCATCTTATTGAGACGAACCGAATGGTACTAAAATCATGTGATTTTGATTGATAGTTTTCGAGATACTCCATTAAACCAAAATAGCCCAAGGCAGAGCTATCTAATTTGATGCAAGTAAATATTTACAATAAATATTATGTGATATATCGATCAAAATCGCAAGATTTTGGCACCATTCGATCTGTCTCATCGAGATGAATCAAATGGTATCAAAATCTTGCGATTCTGATTGATACATTACATGATATTTATCGTAAACGTTATACCTGTACCAAATTAGGCACTATATCAAATTAGAACCATTTTTTTAGACAATTTTTAATAGGCGATATCTCATGACTTAGTGATTAGAATTGGATAATTTTGGTACCATTCGATTTGTCTTGATAAGACGAATCGAATGATACTAAAATTATCCAGTTCTGGTTGAAATATCATGTGATATTTATCAACAATGTTAGCTGTGCCAAATTAGGCATATTTACCTTACATACTAATTTACTTTTTTCTTCTCTTTATTATTGGTATGACGGGTTTTGGAAGTGTCTTGATTCGAATATGAGCTTGAAGCACTATTTGGTATTGGAAAGGGGTTTATCTTCTCTGTTTTTTTCTTTATTTCAACTAAGGTTTCTTTAGGAGCGATTGGCAGATAAAATCTGCTCTTCGCTCAATTTGTCTAATCTATTAAAAATTTTTTGTAAAATTAACTGTTGCTGGTCTATTCTGTTTTTCAAATTAAAGACTTTATTCTTTTTATCTTCTGGCTGTGGGCTTATGAATTGTTTATGAAATTGCTTTTTTGCTTCTAGATCTACTTATAATATTTCTTCTATTCATTCTTTTATATTTTCCTTTTCATCATAGATCTTGACTTGTTTCTTTTTGTCTTTTAATTGAATTCTTTCTTCTTTG